TAATGACGCGATCGGCAGCATTTTTCTCCTTATCGTTTAATTGTGCATTCTGCAATAACTCCGATGTAATGCTCTCTGAGGACACGGATTCTGGGATGTTACTCTTTCTTTCAACCCTGGTTACTGGAGTACATGTTGCAACCACTTCACCTTTCTTAATAACTCTCGACTTTTCAGTTACATTGGCGACTCTCACCGGGATAACCGTTCTGGATAGGTCGACGAGTGTTGAGGCCACTAATATATTTGGGATATTACAGTTATTGGGATATTCTATGATGCCGTAGCGGAAATTTCTATTTTCGGCTATGGATCCAGGAAGTAAATTTCTGTTCTTGCGGTATTGTAATATAGTCTTGTGCTATGATTTTATGGACAGATTTAACTTCTTCATCATTAACGAGAAATAACGCTATGTCCTCAGATGTAGAATGCAATTCGTTATTTTTAAAATCCAAGGAAAAATTGTATTTCCTTAGAAGTCCAACCGAGTATGCAAGAATCAGTGATCTTTGCAACATATGCCGTGTGATGGTAAGCGACACTTCCAAACGTGATGTGAACATTTACTTTTCCGTCGATGTCGATCTTCTCACCGGACACAGTCTGGAGGGTAACGCAGGGCGGCGTCCAGATAATTTGTCTCCTAGTTTTTGAGCCAAATCTTTTCGGATGATGGTGACGTTGGCTCCTGTATCTATAGTCATATTGCACGGAACTCCATTAATATGGTCCTATTATGAAAAGTCCATTGCTGGCCCCGCCTCTCTCACTGCAGAAATCTGAAGCGCTTAAACGGGGGCTTTTAATTATCTGGCAACCTCCGCCCCGCGAGATGGCCACTAATTAGTTTCCCTGCTGCTTGTTAGAAGCGGTCTTAACATCAGTACCCGGGGTGTTTTGCAGTTTCGTCGTATGTGACCTTCAGCAACCGCAGTTCCAGCACTTAACGGTCGTTTTCTTCTCACCAATATTCCGTCTCAAGGCGTTCATTTGTCTAGTTAAATCGTCAAGAGTCGAGCGGTGACTTGATCCCCTGGCTCCTGGACTGACTTGAGTGCACTCTGACTTGGTGGCGGTCTCGACGAGTGGCTTGCTGGGCTGCCTCAAATTTCATGGCGTACACAGAGCACTTTTTAAATCTTTTACATCCGCCATTCGTAGAGCTTTCTGTATTTCAGTATCTCGGATGCCGTCGATAAAGTATTGCAGGACAGGATTTCCCTTGTTTCTGTCGGGCATTCCGGAAGGCGAGATGGGACAGCCTTTCACATCCGCGGCGAGCTCCTGAAGTGTTTCGGTAGGCTTCTGTTGACGAGATTTTTAATTGGAGCCTGCTGTATCTTTTAAACACTTCTCCCCAAAGCGCAACTCCAAGGCGCCGGACAGAGCTTCGAAATCTAACCTTTTTGTTTTCGGGAAGCGTCTGCAGGATATCCCTGCGTCTGCTCTCAGAGAAGCGGGAGATGACAGGGCCTTAGCTTGGGAATCCCATCCATTCGCATCCGCCACGATAGAAAACTGGGTCTTATACACTTGCCAGGATGTCTTCCCCATCATATGTGGATACTTCAGAGATGGACGAGCAGGCATCGGTAAGAATTTAAAATCATCACCCCTTACTCCCAGCCGTCGCTACGAATTTCTTTAAAAGTTTCCAGTTCTTTGGCAACCGCACAAACCCGGTCATCAATTTGTTGTTCGATTTGTTTTCTGAACGGAACAAACTCTTTCTTCTATTTCTTCTTTAACAGAAGAAACATTTTCCTCAATTTGTCCCACTTTATTCTCAACCACATCTATTCTGCCTTCCATAGCATCGAATTTGGTTTCTATTATGCAGGCAATTTCTCTTTTCATTTTCGCATTGACTTTCTTCAATCTTGACTTGAACAGCTTTTATTTTCTTCTTTAACAGATTCCTTAACAACTTTTATTTCGTCTTTAAAAGTTAATTGACCAGTTTGAATGGCCTTCATTTCTTCCTTAACGATTCTTGGCCCAATTTCATCTCGCCTTTAATTTCTCTCTAACGGAGTTGACGGCTCCTTCCATCTTTTCTTTCTTGGAAAGCAGCAAATGCAGTCATCATTTGCCTGAATTGTTCTTCCCATCGCTCTTTGTTATTGGCATTCAAATCCCTCTGACACAAAAATTGTTGCGTGCGTACGGTTTTCGTTACGAAATGAATGCACAAGTCCGATAAAAATGAACAAAAATTTATTATTATCACAACAAAATTGCTTAATTTTTCTCAAATTATCATGCAGTATTACAATATCTCACAGTAGTTATCTTTTAACTACTCAAATATCCATAGAACGTATTCAAAACAGCTAAAGAACGCTAATCCGCGAATTCGCTACAATCAACAACAGTAGTTTTCAAACAACAACAAGCTAATCAACTCTACTACAAACTGAGATGTTTTTCCTCCTTTTATAAGATTTTAAAATCACGCGCTAGAATTTTCCAGTACTTTCTCGAAATCAAAAAGAGATATTTATTTATTTAATGCACGCTCTTGTATTTTCAATTTTTCCGGCTTAGCTCTCTTTTTAATATTCGTCACGCGCTGCACTGCGCGAGAAAAAACCATTTAATTTATAATTGAACTAACCATTAGCTTTTTAAATACCAAATTCGTAACACTATAATATCATAATTATCATTAAAAAATTTATTAATTTACTAAAAAAGTTACTAAATTGACATTAAAACCACTCAGAATTCTAACTCTTAAATTTCATAAATTTGCTATGAATTAAATAAAACACAGAATATATTTATTTGTAATATTCAAATAATATTTACTTAATAAATTAAGTAATATTTTGATAAATTTAAAGAAATCTAAAAGTGTTTAATTACCTTCTTCGTCTGTGAGTAAGACAGGAGCCCCTCATATCTTGACATTTTAGGCTAATGCCTAAGGTCGCTCAATAATAAAGCCGGCTTTCAGCGCGTACCTTTTATCGACGAAAAGCGCATACCTTTTAGCGAAAAGCACATACCTTTCAGCGCATACCTTTAGCGACGAGCCCTTTTATCAACAGTAATTAATCTGAGAAGAATTAATACAAGTTGCATTTAAGAAACCGCGCTGTCTGCCGTTATTCTTTCTCACTCGAGGTTTGTTTAGACTCTGAATTGAACGAATTATTGCTACAGAAACCAAGAATAAAGTATTAAAATACAGCTATCGGGAATAAAACTGCTCTAAGCTCTGCTCTAAAATCTAATGAATAATGAAATTTCTGAAAAGATTTTAGATTGTTGATGAAATCTTAGTCAAAATTCCTTCTAAAATCTTGAACGTGAAATATTTTTATGATTTCTTAGTGAGTGGTTGCTAGCCAATAGAAAAGTATTAAAATAACGTATGCATAATATTAATATGTAAGTATAAACCCCAATTTAGTATTAACATCATCTTTCATATTTAATATGACCTAGTAATTGTGAATGAAGGAAGGAATTAAATGTCGTTATTTTGGAAGCAGTTTCCTTCTAAATGTTATTTAACCAGAAGGAAGCTATAACAAATTCATTTATAAGTAAAATAATTGTTAACGTCATCAAGTAGTAGTATTACAACACTTCAAACGTAAGACTCTGTTCCGTAATACAGTGGAATCTCGAGATACGAGCACCTCTCTATATACGAGAAATTCGAGATACGAGGAAAGTATGAGCGAAACGCTCGTCTCTAAATACGAGCATTGACTCGAGTAAGGAGTATTGTTGGTATGTGTGGCTGGTTTCCCGATCCGGCTCGACTCGGGGAATTCCCTGGTCAGATCATTCAGTGTTCTTTGACCTACGAGTTTGTGTGCTTGTGAGTTTATTGTTTTTTACATTTAACATGAAAATAATTATTTCGCGATGCTTCCCAAGAAGACTGTTGCCTCAGATAGTAGTGCAAAGGAAAAGAAAAAAGCCATGGCCGTTTAAAATAAGAAAGGACTCGTAGATAAGCATAAGCATGGTGTAAGACTGACGAAATTGTTGAAAACTTACTACCGCTCAGCATCGACGATCTACACTATTCTGAAGAAGACGAAAGAAATTAAGACACTTGATGTGGCCAAAGGAGTCGCCGTTACATCTAAGAACCGTCTAAAACTCCTAGAAAATGTTGAGAAGCTGTTGTTGGTGTGGATTAACTAAAAGCAGTTAAAAGGCGATTCGGTGTCTGAAGATATCATTTGCGCTAAGGCTAAGAATCTGGACGTGGAAATTCTCTGAAAAACACCAGGTATTATTTACCATTGTTGTGCATTAAGAAAATTGATTTTTATGTTGATATTTTTAGGTGTGCGGAACGGATTAAATGGATTTCCATTATTTTCTGTGGGGACGTTTGTTTCTAGATACGAGAAATTCGCTATGGAACAAATTAAACTCGTATCTCGAGGTCCCACTGTACTTGTATGCTATCAACTGAAAAGCCAGAAAAACTGCGGCTAGAAAAAATACTTTTATAAAAATTGAAATACGTGTATAAAAACTTTTATTCAAATTTATCTATTTTCAGGTTTAATTACTTTATAGCTTCCCTATTTTGCTGAATGATAACGTAATAAAATAACAAAATTAAATATGATTTTATCCAAATGCTCCTAGAAAACGATATAATTAATATGAAGGTAGTAAGATTCATCAGGAAATATGATACTCAAAGCATGTAAGTGTAAAATATTGAAATATTTGCAGACGTAAATTAACTCGTGTGTTGTACGCGTGCAGCTTATTATAACCGTAAAAATTTGTTTTAATTTAATGTGATCTTTGGCATTTATTGCGTTTCTTTTGCTAATTTGTATCAATTTTGTATGTTTTTTAAGTTACGGTACGTTATGCTGTCTGCATGTGTGTTATGAAAAATTCCAAAAACAGTGTTCCACGGAACATGTTTTATTTTTCCTTTCGATGCCTGTTAGATTTCGAAAACAAATTGCCTTTATTGAAAATTAATTACAATATTCTGATCTTTTCAGATTAGTGACTTCATCAGCTTCCCGAAGTTCTAGCCGAAGAGGATCCATTGCTTCTACCACTGCTGCACCAACAACATCGCGCCAACCTCCCCCGCCTCCCAAAGATGGTTCCCCTGTGGTAGTACGATCAGATAGTGATGTTGAATGCTTCAAACGCGGTGTCTTTATACATCCCAACGACTGTAGCAAGTTCATAGCCTGTGCTCCAGTTTCTAGAAACTTAGGCCAAGGTTTAAAAGGGCGTGTCTTGAGCTGCCCAGCCAATCAGATCTACCTCGTTGACACAGGAAGATGCATGAAGGGAGATCGTAAAGAGTGCCAGAAATGATAGTGATATATAAAACTTTTTAGGAAAACCTAACTTTATATTGTATGTGTTCAAAACACTATGGACATATCCTGAAGTGTGCAAAGCTACTTACATGCTAGCAGACGCAGCTTTCAACGCCTTTCCTGGTTTGTGATTTATTCACAAAGTAAATTGCCAAGCTCTGTTACTGATGAAAAATTATGAACTGTCACTGGTTCAATCTTCGTAGTTATACGTTTGTGTGGAAGAGAAAGCACGCTGCATCTTTCAGTGCAGAGATTTTGTGTACGTTTTTAATTCTGTGTTTTTAGTTTATCATAAAAATAGCAAAAACTTACCGTTTGTAGGAATGTTTAGCAAACCAACTCATTCTGAAAATTATTTCATAGTGATATGAGCCTTATATTAAATTTCAGACTGAGAAGTCAGACAGCAATAACTTCCTTGAATTATTCAATACTATATAATTGGATTCAGGTTACATGTTTGCCAGATGTTATATTAGGTATGCTATTCCTTTTTCCTGTAGCTGCAACGATATTTGAAGTTACTTAATTCCTACAATTCATTTCTAAAAGAAGCATGCATAAAATCCAGGACTATTGATTAATAGTTAGGTAGTTGCTTTTTAAAGGATAATTTTTAATGTATATTAGATACATTGAAATGTTTGGTAGTGATCTGCGAAAAATGTTGAACAAAGGCTAGAAGGATCTCAGTAACTAGGACTGATAATCATGTTGCAAGACAAACAAATTATTTTTCTATAACTGCATTTAATTTCTCATTTTCTTCTAATTGTGATGAATCTCGAATTAGCTACACTTTTCGAAAGGCTTTCATTAATTATTTGCATTTTTGTAATATAACAGAGAGATTAAAAGTACGAGTATAATTTCTTCAAAAAGGTTGTGTAGATATATTCGATCTTATTACTTCATTTCATGATCATGAAAACTGTTGAAAACTTCATTCGTAGAAATACAGTGATATAAAAATTTTCTTACAGTTTCTTTCTTTTATTTGAGGAAAGTATTTTATTCAATGTGTGAAACAGCGCTCAGACAGATTAAACTTGTATATTTAATGAAAACATCGACAGAACAAAACTGAACTCTCACTATGTGTCACTTCCATCCATTATTTTTGTATACTTATCACAACTTAAAAATAAATGTTTTATTTTGTTTTATTTTTGTGGACGCTTTTTCTTTTGTTTGTTTTTATTGGCATAATATCCGCTCAAAAATCAGCGATTTTAACAACAATTTCTTGTCTTGTATAATGTTTAGCAGACTTACTTTTGCTTGTTTAAGAATAAAAATTGTGACAATGTATGATGATACTTCAAGTAAAAAAAATATTGTGAGAAAACTATAGTTCAAAATTCATAAGAGATGATTTTAATTTATTATTATTAAGGCTCGATGCTGGAGTAGATTATGATTCATATGTAAATTCCTAATACCTTAATCTTCTTGAGTTTTCGAAATATTTTATATCAAACCCATTTTTATGACGCTAAATTTTCGATAGCCAATTATATTCCTGAATCTATGTGAATCATATGTTAACATCCAGCAAATTTTCAAGCGTTCCCAACCCTATGCCCGCAGGCACCATGTGCCCGCCCCTGTGCGATCACAATAAAAATGTTTTAGTTTTCAATAAAATTCTATGTGAAAGTTTTCTCATTTTTAATGAAATAGGAATTGCGTCCAACACACAGCAAAAAGCGAAATGCGACCGATCTCTTTTTCTCTGTGCATGTATTATTAACTATATCCAAATACAAATTCACCTTCAAAAAAGTAAATGGTACCTACTGTCTAATAGATATTTTAGAATGTGCTCTTAGGGACAAAAAGGTTGGGGACTCTTGCCCTACATCTTGTAGACTAAAGAATTTTTCGACAAACATCGAATACTGGGACTCCCAAATTATATTATGCTTTTGCAAAAACAAATAAAAACAGTTTTTATTTACTAACAAAGGATTTTTTTTCATAAGTAACATCTGTTTTCAATTTGAAATGAAATAAACTAAAATACATACAGCATAATTTCAAGAAGTCACTAGCTACTGTATAAATTGATCAGTTTGAAATATTAGCTTGAATTCTTAACAATTACTAAGTTTAATCCTACTCCAAGCGGTTCGATGGTTAGAAAATCAGCTGCCACATCACTGAGCTAGGGTTTAAATCCCGTTGAGACTTGAATGCTTGGGATCTTCTCAACATGGGACCAATTAAAATCAACAAAACGTTTGTTTAATTGGTGAAGGGAAAAAATGGTGTTCTTCGGACTCTGTCTTTCTGCCACCATAGGTATCCAAGGCACTTTCGATACCTGTTGTTACTATCCATAAGATAGGTCCGGGATGTCGTACACCTGGGCAGATCATTAAAAACAATAGCAATTACTATATTAAAAAAGACAGATTTCCGTACAATGAGTGTTTTTAAAAACGTGATCGTAAATGCCATGAAAGGTTAGACGAGTATCTTTAATGCGAGCTAAAAGAATGTTTTAATGTATACTTTGGTAGTATTTTAATGTATACAATCGGTATAGATGAAGTATATTTTAAAATTTGATATTACCCACCAAATTTGGCGATTATTTGTCTGGCATGGTAACCCTGCAAGTTTGTCGAGATTTTTTCGTATGACAAACCGTTTAACCAATTTAAACATTTCTGTAGATTTTTGTTAGATTATTTTTCTTCTTCTTCTTTTTTTTTTTTTTTTTTTTTTTTTTGTTGTTGTCAAAAAAGAATTTTTATTTACATTTTTACTAATTTTTTTAACTTTTTTTTTCTTTGGCTTTGAAACGGTTAAGTAGTACATGTTTAATAGTACATGTTAAGTAGCACATGTTTTAACAGTTATATTTTTTTAAGATTTTTGTTTTCACTTCGCACTTTAAGCTGAAAAGCCTGCGGAGACGAGGTTTTCCCACCAGACTTTTTAGGGGTAACTTTTCGTTGACCCAGTGCATCTGTGGCATCTGCTTCCCTTCGATCTATACTCCTACATAAGTAATGTATTCTTCAATGTTACATTTTCTTTATAAAATCTTTACATTTTGTTTATTGCTATTTTATAATACACAGTTTGTTATAAATTCCAACTTCATTATTTAGCATGATTTCAGGGTAGGTATGTAAACTAAAACACCGGCAGAATGAATGAATTTTTTTTATTTTTCTGAGTAAAAATTTTTTAAATGCAATTTTTCCAAATTAACTCAATTGATTATATCAGCGCATAATGTCAAAGTGCTGAACAACAGGCGTTAGTTTTCTTAGCAGTTTTATAAAAAGTTTTCGCTTGTATACTTAAATCGTCAGCTTTAATGACTAAATCATCTAACTTCTCACCTCTCTGAAGAATGGTTTCCATTGTTTGGTGAAGAATAACTTTGGTTTCTTCGAGTTCCGCTTGTATTACTCCTAATACATCTGTACTTTTAGGATCCTCAAACTTCTCAAGCAACTCCTTAATTTCTGGATAGCGCACAGCTTCATTAGTGTTCCAAGTCTTGGGTAGTATCTTGAATGAAAAGTCTTCCAACAGTTGACTTAGACAAATATGAGCTACTTTGGCTGGATATTCGTCGTCAGTTACAGCAGCAGCTGCCAAGCCATCTTTTCTTACGAATGCGTGACACATATAAGTTTGTTCTTTGACGCTTACTTTTGTCTCCAACTCTATTCTTCCAACCAATGTAGTGCTGCAAAAGCGCATGAATTCTTTCACGCTGCCTTTTTGAAAGAAGTTGAACCCTTTAAGATCACTGGCATTGCATAATATTACACTTTTCAAAGGCTGCCTCTGAATGACAGCTAAATAATACAGCCTTACCATTCTCAGAAAATTTTGTTGATAAATTTACCTTTCCGTACGTAGTGTGGAAGATTTATGTTGTCTTTGAACAAACAGCAAGTAATAAACTTTCATGTAGTGCTTCAGAAACATGCGTATAAAGCAATCCATGAGTTTACAAAGCTAGTCCGAAAAAAGAAAAAGCGGTTTAGTTTAATTATAACTTATCTAATACTGAATTCTAAGCAAATATAGTATTGCCAAATGTTAAAGAAAAACTTTTAATCCTTCTTCTGCTAGCATATGATTTTTAATTTGAGTGCAAATATTTTCCCCATCACATGCAATTTTCGTACAATGCCGATTACCAAACACTTAATTGTTTTTATTAATTTTTACTCCAAAAATACATTTCATACACAAAATTGCTTGCAGAATTCTATCATAAAATTTTCTTAAAATTTTGTGGCAACATACTGTGGATACCGTTATTTTTCTTCATCAAATTAGTACTCTTATAAAATATGGTTACATATCTATATTTTTTTTCTCATGCGCAAAACATTAACAAGTTTTACTTCCGTGTACGAAATAAAGAAAGTATTGTAATCGCGAAAAATTTGAGGTATCATATTTCAGCGAAAATATCCATTCCAACCGCTCTCGAAACCATCTAAAAGATTTTTTTTGTAACATCTGTATGTACGGACAGAATAAACGACTGTTTTTGCCAAAGAGGATTGAGATATGGATTTAAAATAGATTCAGAAGAGATTTTTTTTGACGTTTGTACGTACGTATATAGGTATGTATGTGTTTCGCATAACTCAAGAACGAGTAACCGCAGAACGCTGAAATTTTTTATGTGGGACTATTATAACATGTAGTTTTGTACTTCTCTTTTCCATTGTAATAGGCTGCACCAATCGCATACAAATATATATATATATATATATATGTGTGTGTGTGTGTGTGTATGTGTAAGATACAAGAAAATACGATAGCTGCTTTAAAAATAATTGGCGACCTCAAAATTAACGATTCTAGATTGGGTGCTCTCCCCCTAATTTCATTTGTTCTCCCAAATTCGAGATCCTTCTATGTTATGTAACAACTTCAAATTAACCAACCAAGTTTGTCTCTACAATTACATCAGACTTAGCATAAATACGCTTGGCACAATAAACTACGTCATTCTTCATTCCTTTCCTTAGCTTCCGCCATTGCTACCGTGTTAACTATGCTCTGCTTGTCTGTCTAAAATAATGACGCCCCCTTTAACCCTGTGTATGTAAGAAGTTATAGTAATTGTTATGATTAAAGAGTATGTTGTCTACGAGGAATTATTCTAGTGTGCTTAAAATAAAGATGTTAACTGGCTGAACCGGGTTTCGTATCAACTTCTTCCTCACGACTGCCAGCTTTTGAAGTACCCGGATTCCTCCCACACATTTAAATCATTACATATATATATTTTCACTCTGTTACCTGGCTCGGTGAGCTTAGTTTTTTATTCTTATATGTTGGTAAATTGTGCATTTCTTCCTTTCAAAGTAATGATGTTCTAGGTAAGTATTTTATGCCTGCAGTTAATCGACATGAAATAGTTGTAGAATTATCAACAATTTAAAAGTTTAATGGGCGAGTTAAGCCTAACTAAGACCGCCATTTGTTTACATTTGAAACTCGGCAGAATAGTGAATTTAGTGAGTTTCTGCCCTTTCAGCGTTTTTTTTTTTTTTTTTTTTTTTTTTTTGTGTGTGTGTGTGTGTGAGACTAAAAACAAACAATTGCTTGTTTTTGCATAAAAGCTCTAATTTTAATCTAATTTTGGTGCTACTTTGTTAGACGGTTGCACGGATTTTTGGCGATTTACGTTGGCGCATTTGTTGGCGCGATTTTTACAAACGTCAGCCATCTTGAAAAACGCTGTTTTCATGCATAGTAAAGTATTCGAAACTTAAAAAAAAATAAATATCGTTAGAAGTAATGGATTAATTTTTTGTTGAAAATGCCGTTTTTTAAGATGGCAGGCAAGTGTAAATAAATACATTTACTATGAGTATAAAATACTAAAGTAAGGTTATTACTTTCGGTTTTGGTTTGGTTATTACTTTCATATAGCAAAGAAGAGAATAAAAACACCGCTATAAAAACATTGTGCCAACGTTTAATTAGATTAAATTATTACTGAAATTGAATATCGAATTAAAAACCATCATCCAACATTTAAAAGAATTAGAATATTATTAAATTCAAATACTTTAAAATACCTTATATAAAAATATAAATGTATAGAATATAATTAACATTAAAACATATGTGACAATAATTATCTCAGCAATTTTTAAAAATAGTGTATGAATTTTTTTAACAAAAATTGAAGTATACAATTATAAAATAAAAGAAAAATATGTACTTACATTTTTCTTGAATCTTTAATCTGTTGTTTATTGATAAGTATCACAAAAAAAAATCGGAATCATAATTTAGATATCAATGAAAAAAATTTGAAAAATGTAATATCAAGGGCAGGAATAAAAAAAATTAAAAAAAAAAAATTATAAATAGATAAAGCAATTTAGAACCAAATTAATGGATCATGAAGATGAAAAATAACAAAAAAATTTGAAAAAAAAACCCTCCAATAATAGGTATTGTTTTTTCAAGATTTCGAAGATCCTTTAACCGCCCCTCCCTGAAGTACATGCCAATCATCCCAGTCTTATGTCTCTAATAATTTCGATGAAATTTAACATATGGATGCTCATTCAATGCAGAGCAAATTTTCCTAAACAAATACCAGGCTATGTATCCTTCAAAATCTCCTCGACGATTGTAAACTGGCAAAGAATTTTTGAAGTCACGCCATTGTCTTTCAACTGTGTTAGTATGAGCTCCGGTTTCAGGATCTACGAAATGGAGCGAATGGTTTAACTTGCAAGTGATTGAAACCTTCGCTCAAACGGTCATAAGCTTTCCAGCAGTCCGAAATAATCTGGGTTCCCGGTTCGATCCAATCCTTAATTAAAGCGAGAAGAGTATCCGCTGTTCTGTCTGGCACAGCAACTAAAAAACAGCGACCTGAATCGCGCTCTATTCCCCCCCAAAAACCCACTGCCCTTCAACGAATCATTACGACCTTGTTAAACTTTCGTTTTCCCGATTTTTCAGGACTCATCAATCTCCACGAATTTTCCCTGGCCCTCCGATCTTCTCCGTTTTAGTTTTCCACAAAATTAACTAAAACGTCGGTTACATAACTGCGCCAGTCGGCTACAGCTTCTGAAAAAATACCGAGCTCACATTGAATTCTATCGTACGAAGAACCCATGAATATTTCGTACACTAGAGCTAAAATGACAGCAATTGGAAGTTTACTGCCGGTAAAAAAGGAGGGAATGTCTAATACTTTTTTTTTTTACCGTTACAGCGATTATTTCTTCCACCGTGACCACAATACCATATACGGCCATCCTCGGAATCGGCTCTTTAAACCATCTTCATCTGTGATCCACATTTCTCGCACTTCATTGAAGAAGCAATTAGCGAGGTTTCTTCTAAAAACTTAAAACAAATTTCCTCTGACCCTTGTAACAATTTGTAAACAAATCTTTGATTAGGAAAGCCAGGCTGGCCAAAATAAGGTCTCAAAGGACAATTTTTTGATTCCGATACCAATAATTCTTGGTACTTACCAATAACAACATTCATCTTAGAGAAAGACATCTTTGAAGGAATTCCAAGAAATGAATTAAATTTTAAAATGGCGCGGAAATGCACAAATTTTCAGTAACCAATCAGGGAGCTGATTACAGCTCGTTAATGCACAAATATACTATAACCAATCAGAAAGCTTATTACATCACGCCTAGAATTAAATTTGTTTAAAAATTCATACATAATAAAATCATTTTTAAAAAAATTAAAAATTAAATTGTATTTTAATATTTAATAGCCATAAATATGTTTAAAACATTAGATTAAATTTATACATATTAAAACCAATTACTTTTAAAGCAAGGTGACGTCATTGATTACATCATCCACAACATAAAATTTCATAGAATATGATAAACAAAAAAAATTTTTATTTCAAAATAAAAATGCAAAATTAAATTGATTTTTAATATTTAGAAGCCATAAATAATATTTAAAACACGGAATTTATGCACAATAAAACACATTATTTTTTAAATAAAATGACAACAAAGTATCGGTTACCATAAATAACTTATCTCGCAGTGGGTTTACCATAAGTTGTATTACTTGCCAAAAGAATATCGCCAAAAAATCGCCAAAATCCGTGCAACCGTCTACCAAAGTAGCACCCTAATTTTAATTATAAAAATTGTTTTTAACTGTTTTAATTGTGTTTGGTGTTTTTTGTTTATTTTACAATTTTTAATGAAGATGTTTTGAGATTTTGCGTATTTTTGCTTCGAAGGGAGGACTGAATTAACTGAATTAGAAATATATCTCTAATGAAATTCGAGGAAATAAGTTTCAATGAAGTGCTGCAAAAAAGGAGTATAATTTAATGAGCCATACAAGGAAGTCATGTGGTGTCCACATCAGAATTTACAATTTGTCTTTCAAATTACAAAAATAGCTTGTTAAAAACAAATCTTAGGAAAATTGGAGAAATACTGAATTTTTCAAAAAAGAAGAGCAGTGAATTTTTTAAATCTACGACCTCCGATTTGGAAACTTCATTGAGAAGCATGTTGCAAACATAATATTATAGAAGTAACGTGCAAGCTTGTAGTTCTTGTGAAAGTAAAGACTGAATATTGAAAATTGTTTTGAGGTTTCTGCCGCTCAGAAGGTATAGTGGTTAGGAGAGCCTACTCAGGTACCGAAGTGTTCGAATCCCCGAAAAGGCATGGGTGTAGTTGTACGTCGCTTCATACCAGGTAACGATGATCCACCTATTAGGTGCTTCCATAATAAAGTGCCCAGCCTTAATCGGCTAAAGTGCCCGCCAATCGAAAAGCAAAATTTCAGGTGTTTAGGTAGAAAATCTAATCACAAAATGATAC